GACGTGACTGCCAACTCTGTCATACATACGACAAGGTCTATTAAAACTTGAAAATTTGCGAGTTGCAAGCCTGACTAGAGAGTGAAAGCAAAGGAAATATATTTATAATAATATTTCCGGATTGACAAGTGGAAAGTGAATGTCCTGGAGGGAAGAAACTGGTTCTCGAGTGCACATCACTTACTTTCTCTGAAATTATACTCAATCCTAATCTCAGCTCATTCTCAATACATATTCAGCTAAAACTGGTCTAGAATCAGAAAAGGGAAGCCAAATCTCAAAAGCGGCCTTTTAATAACTTTCTTCCTGCGTTTCAGAACATTCAGAACGGGATGAGACGACGACACCTGAGAAATTATGCACGTGTTGAGAGCAGGATTAGAATTTGAACCTGTGATTCGTTCATTCATTCAGCCACTCTCTCACCCCCTCGCTCTCTCTCTCTGGCACTTTCTTTTCTACATTTAAATACTTAATGCAGTTCCATATACCCGACGTTGGAGGAGTATGACAGGACAATGCTCACTCTCCACGGCGTATTAAATACACCGAGAGATCTTGCGTAAATGTATCACATTTTTGGTTTCGCAATCTAATTACTGTACGAAATTCTAATCTAAATATTTCTTGACATACTAACATACTTTACATGTTCTGGAGCGCGTGTAGGAGGAGGAAGCAAGGCGTTTAATCTCGAATCTTTTGCATACTTTAGCTATCTTTAGCCAACTTTGGACTTTTGTGCTAAATACGTCCTAAATTTATGTACAACTCTTATTCTGTGCTGGTTAAGAAACGGTTGGACAACTAACTGCTAGTCTGCATAGTTTGTTGTGTTATGCATAGAACTACATGACAGTTGTGTCATGAGATTCAGGGGATTTTAGATTGTGTGGAATAAGTGGGAGAAAGTGTCATATGTGACAGACGAGTGACAAAGTCAGCAAAGAAATGTTGCAAAATTTTCATACTTGATTCTTATCTACCATTTTCGTGGTTTTGTATATTTTTAAGAAATTATTTTTCGTATGATGATACCAATATCTGCATAAATGCCTAATTACTGATTATGATCCCTCGATAAGATGATGATGTCTAGATTTTTCTGCAGATAATCAACATTTCATCCTCGGTATTCTTCCTTACCACTACATTTTTTTCTCAGAAAATATGACATATACTAATGTTGATGCAGTTTTTTCGTACGTGGTTTTCTTTTCCGGTATTTTTTTTGTCTCACATACTTCCACCACGGCACTTATTATTATGCTATACCGTGTGTATCTCTCTATCCAAAAATACAATTGAAATAATGGCTCAACTAACACAACCAACTGCCAAGACTGAGCCTTTCCCGTCCGGAATGAGAAAGGAGGAGGAAAACTGATCTAAATTCAACTCGCAAATAAAAAACGGAAATGCTGCTAACTCCAAGGCCCTTCATCATTTATTTCCTTTGGCCAACACACCACCACATACGCCAACATATATCCCCCAAAACTTATCCGACACAAAGTCTCTTTTGCTCCCTTGAATGCTCATACTCAGACATACACGCTGTCGGCAGAGTTCCGACTTTTACTTTGCAAGGGGAGAAAGTGTTCATGGGAAGTGCAATGTTTTCACTACTGGAGGCGAACTGGAGGTACTTTCTCTCGAGGTATGTACGTATAAGGTATTGCGCATATTGGGAAAAAACTGTGTTTATGTTGTTCGTGCGTGTACTTCGTCTCATCCAGAAGTGAATAGTTCTTTTGAAAAATGCTGAAATGAGTTTCCAATTCTTTTCGCTGTTCCTACATATACCGGATTTTATACCAGCCGACAGAGCCGTATTTATTTTATCCATTATATATCCCAGACTGAAGAAAGTATGTTGCAGAGAAAGAAATAAACACCCATAATTGCCACACCGATCTGATTTAAGAAACCACGATCAGAATTTTTAATGAATCTTTATTACTATCTACGGCACGATGAGGATATGCTCACCAAGTAATCTGTGAGTATGCCATGCAATAATTCAGCCTAATAAATGTTGTTCATTACATGTTTACAAATACTTTCTCATTCCGACAGGATGGAGCATGAATCCAAAATATTTCCTTGTTTTGCACCTTATTCACTAGTGTTTTTTTTTTTAAATAGTGCAGAAACTAGGTGTTAATTATTATTGAAAGTAGAACATACTTGCCAACTCACATATTTAGTCCAACATATAGGAGCCGGACGGTATGAACTCGTGCGAAATGTCGTGTCGTGTAGTCCGACCAGCACCAGCGTGTAAATAATGAACCAAACGCATGTCTTAGGACTTAGTTGGGTGGTAAGTTTTGTGGAGAGAATAAGTCTCTTTGTGTCAATAATAGACTAAAGCAGGAATCCACAAATTATGAGTGCTGCTCATGCTCACCACGATATTTTTCATTAAATACTTTTCCAAATATTTCTTCTTTTTTCTGAATCGTGAGTGGAATTCTGTTTCGCTCGGCTTTCTCCAAATGTGTTACTGAGGAGATTCAGAGCCATTCTGAGTCCATAATGATTCACCGTCTTCTTCTTCTCCTAATGATAATCCACTCCTTAACGTTATTATTCTTCTCCTCCTTCTCCTCTCCAAATTATTTACTCAAAGGAATGTTCTGATTTAATTTGAGGCTGCATTACCACACCAAATGGAACTCGTTTGGCTGACCAAGACTACGTAGGTACATACGTAGAACGGATGCTGCCCATTTCCTAGTAGTCTATACATTGTACAAGTTTGGATAGTCATCTTTTTGAGCTGAAAAATGGATCGGTATGATATTTGGATGTCATTAATCCCGTATCATGAAATGGTGTTGATTACCCTTGTTTCAATTAATCTGCATGTTTCTCATATTGACAGAATTGATCAGAATAGCAACCAGAGTTTATTTATTGTTACGACATCACCACGAAGGAAAGAAAACATTTCCGAATGCCAATACCTCTCATACCGAATAAATTCGATTCGTAGGCTTGGCGTGAAATTTTATGAGGGTGAAAACATCCCTGGTGAAGAAGAAGAAGTTGGACATTTAATACAACGAGGTATCAAAAAGACGAGGAAAGTGAAGATGCCTTAAACCAAACTCTGGAACGGAACGGGGATGGATGGATGGCAACACAAAGTGATTTTGAATTTCCACACTTCAAACGTAATACTAAGTGATAAATTTATTGACCTTTGAAAGAAGATTTTCCACTTGCTTTCACTTTACAAAAACTAACATGGATACATACGCACAAATACATAGAAATGTATAAGACTTATATCGTGAGGGTTGAAGAAGGGTCGTTGAAATTGCCTAAAATAAAATAAGAGAATCAGCAAGATTTCGTTCGCCAAGTCATCATGACTCGTCTCAAAGTCGTAAAAATATTCCGACCGAGTCGTAACTGATCAAGTCAAGAAGGTCAAGCTGACAATTTTCCAAAAAATTAGACAATCGTTCTCATCCAAAAGTTTTTCACAACAAGAAAAGTTCAAGAGGGCAAAAGTTTTTAGGAAGTAGTAGAAAATGCATTCAACCAAACAGTTTTAAAGTGAAATAGACACGAGTAGTTTTTTTTAGCACTAACAGCACAACCAACAACGAACGAGTCGACGACGACTTGTTTCCCAAAATCAGAACACTTTTGTCCTGTATTATTCTTATCCGACGCTATGTATATACAAATGTACGTAGGTACATTACCATACATCCGCCGAGAGAGCGAGAGAGTCCACAGGCAATGACTTTGTACTTTGTAAGAGAAAAATTAGGGTCATGAAATTTCAGATCTGGACAAAAAACTTTTTTTCGCGAAGCTGTAAAAAGCAGTTTGAAAGGAAGCTGAAGCTGTTTGATGTTGATGGGAGACAAAATGGGATGACATCCCATCTCAGGGGTTGTAAAGTTGTCTCTCCGGATGGAAGGAAAACTATATTCTTGCTCAAAACGATCTTAATTTCGTGTCTCATAGTAAGGCTAACAAACAGTTTCACCCTCTTGCATAACGCTGTTTTACCCCGTACTGGAATATGCTGTTTATACAGTAGATGCTGTTTATACAGTAGATGTATAAAATGTGACTAAAAACATTGCAACTTTTCCACGCATAATAATACTGGATTATTAAAAGACACTCGAGTCTTGTTGGGAATCTGAGATTTGTTTGTAAATAATGAACTGTCCACGTCATAATATTTTATCGTTTTACTACCAACATATTTTAGCTGAAAACTCATCTCGACGAAATCCATCCCTTAATTTGAGTGTACTATAAAATTAAGTGCTTTCCCCTTTAAATGTGGCTAAATCTGAGATGAGACGTTAATATTGACACCACCACTATTTTTTTCCGTTTACAATAATGATTTCCGAAATTATTCACATTATTCAATCCTTCAAGTTAAACTTCAAGATGAAAACCTATTTACTAGGTCTTTCAGCTTTTTTCCATATTTTTCTTATATTATTGTTCCCTACACATGAGAAGGAGGGTTTGAATAGGATCACTTCATCAGATTAGCATATGAACAGGCTCCTCCAGTGCGGCTGCTGGGTGAATAGGGATAGAAATATGGTGAGAAGAAGACGTCGTCGTTTTCTTAAAGACAATCCTCTCCTCTCGAGAGTGAGAGAGAGTGTCATTGATTAATGGGCGTCGATGTGAGCCCAGAAGCTGCCCAAGCAAGTGACAGGAAACAGGTCATAACAAATGGGCTAATGAGATAAGATTTAACGCAGGAAAACGAGCCCATGGCGATGATTGAATATTTTACAGAAAGGTTCGGGCAAAAGTGGGCTGCTTCCTATGGCTTCGATGACCCAGCCTCTGCTCTCGTCGATGTCACACGCACAATGATTTTATACCAACGTCAATGAAAAATCGGGGAAAAAATGATCTCAAAATCGGTGAACTTGAGACGCGTGGGGTGAAAGTGGAGGAACGCATCGAGCGTGCGAGCGGAGTGGGCAAAACTTTCACAATTTTCTTGCAGATGTTGTCATCACTCGGGTTTGGTCATCGCTGATCGATCATCGTTACTAAAAATTGGCTAATATTTTCCTATTTACTTAATTGTTAACAAATATCATCTAAAATTATTATAAGTTGTGATAAATCATAATAGTTTCAAGTCAACTTACTCAAAAGCTTTACATTTTCCAAGGTTTTACGGTACCGATGTTTATGTGATAATATTTAAATCATCATTCCATTTTGAACGTTAAGAAATTTTAAAGTGTACAAGATTTTTGAGGAAAAGAAGTATCACTTGTAAATTTACTATTGGGCAGAACAGAAATCAACTGTGTGGGCGGAGGTGGGTTGAGCAAGTGAAAGTCTAAATAACTGACTGTTATTGATTTTCTCGTTAATATTGATTATTTGGTTCTAATTAAAGGTATTTTCTATAATTAGGAGAATACGTTTTTAATAAGCTGTCCATGTCTTTGGTGACCCGTTAATCAAAATGAACATGATGAACTTGAACGTGAATATGGACACGGTGATCAACAAGTTGAGGAACACGGTGACTACTGTGACCAGCACCGTTTCCCAGTTGTCGGTCGTCCTCCCAGGAAATCCGGTCACGAGGGAGTACGAGGTCACGCAACATATCGCTAGTGGAGGGCCTGGTACTGAACTATCCTGCGTTTTATGTTTTTAATTGTAATCAATTTTGAAAGTGAACTATAGAATGGTCTTATATCGTTTGTGCCAGGATTATTGTGGAAGATTTATGCTGGTTACAAGAAAAGTACGAAACAAGAAGCGGCCATATTTGTCTTTGAGAAGAAGCAATTGGACAAGTGGAGTCGAAAAGACAGGGATAACATGGTTGATATATTGAAGAAAGGAGTTAACCAGCTGACGAGACTAAAACATCCACGGGTTCTAACGGTTCAGCATCCTTTAGAAGAGTCGAGGTTAGAACTACCAACCATAATTATATTTAAGCCGTTGTGGTAAGGAAGGTGCTACCCTCTTATCGCTGCTCTTCACCAGAGGAGAAAAAATTCCGGGTTTTTGAGTTTTTTCCTAGTTTCAACCTTCTCTCTCGCTTTGCAAAATACATTGCTCGCTATCTCCAAACTTCGCATCGACCTTGTGGGGGGAGAGGGGGAAATCGGGCAAAAAGAGCTTATTAATTGATAAAGATAATTTTTTTGAATTTTTCTACGTTGGTCCCAAATTTTTTCGTCCACGGAGAGTACCTCTGCGTAGATCTTAATAAACACATTGAAGCTTATGCAACTTTAAGATCTACGCAGAGGTACTCTCCGTGGACGAAAAAATTTGGGACCAACGTAGAAAAATTCAAAAAAATTATCTTTATCAATTAATAAGCTCTTTTTGCCCGATTTCCCCCTCTCCCCCCCACAAGGTCGATGCGAAGTTTCGAGATAGGCGAACAATGTATTTTGCAAAGCGAGAGAGAAGGTTGAGACTGGGAAAAAACTCAGCCCCAAATTCTCCTCCTTCTCGTCACACTCCCCGTTAAGAATTTTGTTAGAGACACTAGTAATTAATTGCAAGTCTACTGATTTTATAGAGATAGTTTGGCATTTGCGACGGAACCGGTATTTGCCAGCTTGTCCAATGTCTTGGGGGAGTACACCAACATGCCTGATGACGTAGGGGACGGGTCGATTAGGAAATATAAATTACAAGAAATTGAAATAAAATATGGACTTTTACAGGTGAGGATAGAACCTCGAACTTATCATAGGCTGGTAAAAGCACCCACTAAATACTAAAATTAAATAAAATTGTGCATTTAGATTTGTGAAGGTATCACATTCCTAAATAATGATGCAAAAATTTTACACGGGAACCTTTGTCCCGAGTCGGTAATCATTACAAAACAAAATTCGTGGAAAATATGTGGCCTAGAGTTTTGTATAACTGCGGTAGTATCTGGAGCAGAGGTAATAAATGTATTCATGCTCGCTCTGATTGAGTCTTGTCGTCACCGTCAAGTACAATACATTGTATACTTTTTCTCGTCTCAGATTACTTGGCCTTCGAAATCTTACGACAACGATGCACATCCTCTAACACAGCCTTGTTTGGATTACCTCGCACCGGAAATCACAACGTCAATGTCGTGCTCTCCAGCCAGTGATATGTTTTCTATTGGCATGTTGACATATACATCTTTCAACTCTGGAAAACCAATGTTTGCAAATAGAGGGGACTGGAACCGGCATCGACAGAACATTATTGTGGTAGTTTTTAATTGTCGATTAAACAGATTGTATTGTTGTTTAAACAAATTTAATCTTTTCTTACAGTACAATCAATTGCCTGATTCGAAACTGACTGAAATACCTCCAGAGTTAAAAATATTTGTTCGAAGACTGTTGAATTTCAATTCTGTGGAGAGGCCTGATTCTCATGAGTTTGCAAAGGTACATATAAATGACAATTTACTTTCATAAAAAAATTTCTTGAACTTAAAAAATGTATTCATTTATTCACTTTAGCTTGAATATTTTCATGATGAAGGAGTTAACACCCTCAGATATTTGGATTCATTGTTCCAATGGGATAACTTGCAAAAGAGTAAATTTTATAAAGGACTCTCTGAAATATTGCCCGGCCTACCCCAAAGAGTCCGACTGCTCAGGTACATAAGTGTTTATGTGCATGTGTGTATTTCAATAATTATAATTGTTTACTTTCTTACAGAGTTATTCCTTGTCTATCACAAGAGTTTGTTAACCCTTCGATGGTTCCGTTTGTCCTTCCAAACGTGCTAAAAATAGCAGAGTGGTCGACAAATGAAGAATTTGTGGATCATGTTTTACCATACTTAAGAGATGTGATGAAACTCAGAGAACCTGTTCAGGTATCTATAAACAAAAACTTAAATTTCAGTATTTTCAGGTTTCGAAATTAATATTTGATGTGTTGATATATTTTTATTTTCTTTTATAGGTGCTATTTATTTTTATGAAATACATGGAAGTTCTACTTCAAAAAACGCCACCAGACATAACGAAATCGGACGTTCTCCCACTGCTTTACGGTTCTCTTGAGTCAGATTCACCCCAAGTGCAAGAGCTGTGCTTATCCATTATTCCAAGTTTTGCTGGGCTAATTGATTACCCGGCAATGAAAAACTCGCTACTTCCTAGAATTAAAAAATTAGTGATTTCAACTCCAAGTTTATCGGTTTGTGATCAATAGTTGCTTTTATAAAAAAACTATAGCCTACAATTTAAACAATGTTTCTGCTATTAGGTGCGTGTAAACTGTTTAGTCTGTCTCGGAAAAATATTGGACCACTTGGACAAATGGATGGTAATCGACTACATTCTTCCATTTTTAACCGAAATTCCATCCAGGGTGAGTAATTATGATAATAATCAATAATTTATTAGAAGACAAACAATGCTTATTAGCAAAAGTTAAACACTTTTTACACCTTTCACCAGTAGGATTTTTATCTTCTTTCTTAATAATTGTATTATTGTATAATTTCATGACCAGGATCCTGCTGTAATAATGGGAATCATAGGTAATGACACATTTTAATTATCTTTCCGGAATATTACTTACTAAAATTGGGGCGTTTTCCATTGTAGGAATCTACAGACTGGCTGTGAACCATCGGAAATTAGGAGTGACAAAAGAAATAATAGCCACTAGAATACTGCCCTTCATATTTCCTCTCAGTATTGAAAACGGATTGACCACCCAACAATTCTCAACTATTATGAACTTTATTTATGATATGATCAAAACAGTAGAAACCGAGCACAAATCAAAGTTGGAGGAATTAGGGGCCATTGCGAAAGAACGAGAACAAATGTAAGTTTCAAATAGTTGGAAGTTCAAGATTACATAGCCACACCCAAGATATTTTAAAAGTATTTCAATGTCATATTAAATGTTGTTACAGGAAAGCAGAGATGAGTAGCCATCCCGTATTCAATAATAACGTGGCAAACTCGTCCAACGACATATTTAACGACTTTAGTATGGCCTCACCAGCTTTTAATTCAACTGGGGATACTGGCTCTTCTCCTAAAAAAGCTTCAATGACGCAATCTACAACGATGCCTCTAATTCCCTCTTCAAACACCAACTCCTCCTCCTCCTCGATGAATACACACACCATGAATACTGATCGAAGGTCTTCGTCGGGGATGCAGCCAGCAAGAAATACTACAAATTCCAGGAACGATCTGATGTCTTCCCTTCTCAGTTCTAATTTAAGTCAAATGGGTGGCGCACCTTCTACTCCCACTCAACCAGCAATGATGATGCCATTTTCGGCTTCGATGCCCATGGGTTTAAGTGGCGCAAACCGAGCCAATGGTTCAGTTCCAGTCATGAATCGAAGTCCTACGATTGGATTGACTGGGATGACACCTTCGTCGGGAACATCTCAACAACAACCGATGCAAAATATGAGCTTTCCCCAACAAACACGACACGCTACTCCCTCAACATTCCCAACTATTCCAGGTGGAAACTCGTCGTTTGGGGTCATGCAGCCAACTTCAAGCTCTTTAAATCCCGTCAAACCTAACGTAAAGTCATTGTCAAAAAGGGATATTGACGATTTACTGAGTTAAATGTCACACTTAAAAAAAATTAACATCACAGACTCACAACACAATACGTTTACTAAATAATTTCATATCATGTCAAATGCATTGTAACTTTCATTTTAATTAATCCCAAATAAAGCATTTATCAAACACTTTTCTAACGAGTCACAATCGCATAATTTATTATTTTTTGTAACGTCATAAGCCATCATCGTTAAAGCTAATACTGAAATGACAACTGGAACACAAAGGGAAGTCGTATATGTATACACACATTAATATATATATATCTTATATATATATATATATAAGCTAGCAATACGGTGGCGGTGGTAATAATAGTGTAAAAAATTAACCGATATAAACTCAGGCTTCAAATTTAGAAAAAAACTAGGACGACATTGGGAAAATTGTTGGATATACCAAAATTAGGGAATTATACGGTAGTGAATAGACGACTGAATTACATATAATATGCCTATTTTTCAAGTGGATATATTATTAGATTCATACTTTTTTAGCGGAATACGATAATGTTGCAAGTCATTGGATTGATGTGGGATATAGTCTATGTGTACACGCCGAACTGAACAAAATGTGTATACAATATACGATAATATTCAATCATAATTAGGAAAACGTGGCGCAATATATGGTATATAATATAACGATATACTATAACAATATAATATAATAGTGATGCATTGGCTTGATCAACTAACATCAATGACTAAGTGACTTTCTGTATTCAGACCCAAACCCCGTGAGGATTTTTGCTCGTGGGTGCCGCATTTTCCAACTGTCGTGGAGATCCGATCATTCGTCGTGTGCTTCCAGACCTGTGGTGCACAAGATCTATAAGGTCTTCTGGAGGTTGGATACTTAAGCTCTGAAGATTCGCTTCTTTCATGGCTGCAATCAGGCGTTCCATCTGCTTCTTCTTCTCATCCAAACTGGTCTCGATAGACTGCACTTCTTTGTCTAAGCTCACGGACAGATCCTTGGCCGTGTCAGTTTCCCTTCTCGCCACATCTAGGTCCTTCCGTAGTCCTTCAATCTCTGCGAGAGTAGCCGCCTCCTTCTCTAACCATTCTTGCTGTCGCTGGTTCATAAGGTGTTGGGTTAAGTGTAATTCTTCCATCAGAACACTAAAGGAGGAAAAATGGTTTAAATATCAAAATAAAAAAGTTGATATGTGGTGGTGAGACTGTAGCATAACTATTATTTACCTAATGCGTTGTTTGCATTGATCAATTTCATCGTCACATTTCTCAAGCTCTGCACGCAAATTGTTGATTTCAGATTTTAAAGCTACCGACTCTCTCTGCGTGTATTCACACTCCTCCTCGAGATGAGCTAGGGACAAGGCTTGACTTTCATGTTGTGCACTGAAAATATATAAACAATAGTAAAGTAAAACAGATATACAATGGAATTCAAAGATTGATGAAAAATTTCGAGTATTTAGGCACTTCAAATATCTCAAATTGCATAAACTAACCTGACGACCTCCAAGCGTGAGATTTCTTTGTTTATAAGATCCATGTGCTTCTGCTGCTCTTTGGACTTCCCCTCCCAGAACATTATCTCTGCGTCGTACTGAAAACCACATTACAGTCAAAAGTTAGAAACATTTTATTAAAGGGTAGTTACATATTAATTACTTTAAATGAATAACATTTAGCATATATAAATACAACAGAGGTAATTATTTGATTACTTGAGTCAGTTCGGCTTGTTGGGATGTCAGTTTTTCTCGTTGAGAATTTACAACTCGTATTAATTCTCGGTAATGAGAGTTAGTGTTAGAGGAGTAAGACTGGGGTGAGACTTTAGGGTTGGACGACCCATTTTGATTAGATGAGCTATCGCCATTCATCAAACTGTGATCCTGCACAGAGCCAAGATAATGACACAATTTTTAATAACATGCTAGGCAGCAATTTAGAAAAAATGACATACAGTGATGCACTTGGATTAATCACATTCAACATTCAACAATCTTTCGTTTCTGTGGTGCTTTACCTTATTTTTCCAGCTTTCTACATCATTTGAACTGACACCAGAGGAAAGAGAGTCTTGTTGCTGTGAACTAGGGGATGCATACTTGACGAAATCATTCTGACTGGGAATACTAAAGCCGTGGACACCACCACCGTTCATCACATTGTTTGCAGACATCATTCCACTATTGTTTCCGTCATTGTACCCTGCATTCGTCCCCAAGGACGACGTGGATGGAGAGTTGCACTTGCTGCTGTTGCTATTGATGTTCTTGACGGCAAAATTGGGGGGACCAGTGAGATTTGGTGGAGGAGGTTCTCTGTACGGAGGTAAGCTTTTCATCCCCACCATGTTCACAGTTTGAGGTGATGCCAATGGCGGGGTTTGATTATTATGGGCCGAGGAGGGACTTGGAGGTTCTCTATACGGTGGTGGACTACTTATACTTGATTTCTCACTCGGTTTGTTCCCATAAAACACGTGGTCAAGTGGTAATCTTTGAGTCGGTGCTCCACCCCTTACACTTCCTGAAGCGGATGGTGGTTGGGATCTTATATCATTAAAAGTTTCCGTATTGGGCAGCATAGTGGCAGAGGATCCATTGGGACCATTTTGACTAAAGGGACTCCACAATCTCGAGTCGTTGGAAGTGTAGGAGGAGGACGATCCGGAATTTTTCTTGGGACCATTTGGTTGAAGAGTTCCACCAATTGGTCCAATTAAGGTACTAGGAGATCCAGTGGTGGTAAATTGGTGGTTAGGTTTTGAGAGAGGCGATGGGGAATGGGATGAACTGTTATCACTGCAACTGCTCTCCACGACCCTTTGCACTTTCTGCAGAGGCACCTGACCAGATCTATTTGAGGCGTTGGTGGCAGATTCCAGTGGAGACCACTGTAGGATAAATTGCATGTCGTTCGAATGTTCGCCCCTACCGCCGTTCAACAGCACCTAGAAAGAAAAGAGACAAGGTAGATAAATGTCACCATTAATGAAGGATCGTTATATTTAATGGATGTCGTCATTCACATATTTGCATTGGCACATAAAGAGCTTCAATTCGTCTTGCCAAAGAACACAACTATATCATACGGACATGTTTTTTACGCAGATATAGAGTTGAAATACAGATTGTCTAGTCAGCCGTAGTACATACGCAGATAGAAGACTCCTCTTAACCAAGTCTTCAAATTCCCATAAAATCCTACAGTAGTTACACCTAAATTCATCTCATGTGTCTCATTTTTCCAAGACCAGCATGTCACTCAAACATGGTTTAGCTCCGGTTCGGTTTGTAGCATGAACGTAATTTGCCAAACCACACAGCACAATATACTTAATTTTGTTTTGAAGGACGTACCTTTAAAGGTTGCTCACTGGGTGCCAGCAGTCGCTCACTGTTACGCCATCGCTCAATTAATGTGAATCGTCCAGTCTTTCCGGTTGCGTGTGCCAGGGCGAACACAACGTCCTATTAAAAACAAATCCCAGTTGTCAATTACAAGTGTTACAAATTGGTAAAAGTAAGAATACTTGTAATTGGTAAATTGACTCCGTACTTGACATGTTGTTTTTTCGTTGACCCCACAAACAATGCGTTGAATCCCTTCAACCCAAACTTTTAGCTCCATTACGAACTGATCAAGTGGTGGCGGTTATTATTGAGATTGTCGCCATCATCATGTAGTTGGCGAGGCAAGAATGTGTGTACTCAGTCTAGAGGTTGTGGATTACTCGAAACTCGTACAATCTGTAATATAAAGTTAACTTATAGATTTATGGGTTAAATATGAATATGATTAATGTGAATCATAACTTATGCATGTATGTACATATGTACAATAGGGAAAATAGGCACATATTTAATTATGCCAAGCCCTTTTTTCTATGTCGACATAAATCTTCGTAATTATGGCTGGATTATTGGTTTGGCTACTCTAAATCCAAAGGAATTCAACTCCAAATATAAATGCAAAAGTCTGCGGCTCGTGCTCAAATTCGTCAAAATTACAATACTTGTTTGGTTCATTTTAAATGGCGTCGGAGCCAGTGATTTTTAGACAACTAGAAGCAGCCTAAAGTGGTAATGGAAAATAAATTTGGCAAATTGCTAATCAGCCAGAAAAACCTGTTGAAATGGGAACAGCGAGAACAAAGTTTTTTTTAAAGTCGGTCACATTACCCAAGGTTATGTTGCTAACATTTGGATTAATCCCACATATATAGTCTAGTCGCACTAATAAATTCCATTAGTCAATTAGTCTGCATATCATGACATCAAAACAGAGTTTGCCTTGCGGAATCCCTACGAATTTCATGTGCATTTTGAAAATCCAAATTCATTCATGCAGCAACAATGTAAAAGAGGAGTCAATAAAGTTGTAGCGTATGCATGGTATTTCGCATGTAAAAGAACAACTCTTCATTTTACCGGTGGTAAAATGTGAATGTAAGTTAATGGAAGAAACGAAATGAAGTCGGCTATAGCTTTATTTAATTTGCAGGAGGAAGAGAAAAGAGAGAATACAATAACAATACGCAAGTACAGGAAAGACGACCATCATCACACAATGTGTCCAAACAGTACAATCTACAAATATCATTGCTCACACAAAAGGACCTACACACCAGCACACAAATGTCGTACAAGTTTCTCGAGAATCAAATTTGCCAACGACAACGACGGCGGCTATCCAAGCCAAAGTAATGCCATCCTTAAGGTGGCATTTATTTTCTTGCTTTCGCATCTCACCGCCCCTATAAAAATAACATTGTTTCGCCCTGTTTCTAAATTTTCCGTCAACCATGTAGGATTAGACGAGTCTTAACTTTGTAAAGGTAAATTTACCGAATCTGCTAAATTGATTAGGTTTGAAAAGAAAATTCCCTCTACTGAACTAGATAAAATTAAAACAATACAAGAAGATCCCCCCAAAAAATTAGTTTCACAAAATTAGTATCCCAATTCCGCCCTATTTTTCCCACAGGATGAATGGAAACTTAAAAAGTATATTATTTTATATAGATTGAACAGCACAGAGAAGGAAAATCCGTCAACCAAAATTCAAGTATACAATGGCCCCTTAAGCCAAAGTAACTGTACTCTTTTACTACTCTCCAAAATCATGCAGGACCAACGACGAGTCAAAAACCTGCTTCAGGCTAAACATTCACTTGCACTTGACTAAACCCAGCACAAAATTAAAAGCAATAACCCTCCTCATCTTCGTAGTAGCAACAGAGTTATGAAGTTTCAGTTTGAAATATAAAAGCAATTCATATGTACAAGTCAATTCGCCAAAAGTCACATATGTTGTTCCTTCTTTTTCTTCTAAAGTTGCGACTAACTCATCTTCCTCTCAATGTCTTTATGAATCTGTACCTTCACACCAGAGCATGTGGCTAGTTTTACGTTACAAGTAGCTGCCACATCGTAAAAAAAAGGCTCAAAAAGATGTTTCTAGTGTTTCTACTTACTTTGCACTTCGCATTTGATGGTAACCGTTTCAGCCTTGGCTTTTTTCAAAATATTGCTCAGCCAACAGGGTACAGAATCTTTTTTTTTATTCGCACTCGTGAAGATGAAGACCGTGGGTCTCAGATGTAACTTTTTGCATACTTCTGACATGCTGCACGTAAAATATTATTCTTACTGGATGAAATGCACAAATTTTCTTTCGGGTGCAATGCAGTGTATTTGTCGCAAAACAAAATTGGGGCATATCTCACTCAGAAATCAACTCGTGTCTGTAATAATATTTACAGTCGTGTCAAAACCCTATCCAACAAACCTATCACAAACAGATATCAAATCGAAATCTCATGCAACCACACGAACTCAAGTGGTAGGATTTTACAGGTATATCATGCATGCATGCAAAATATCAAGGATTTGTTCAGAGCTTGATTACTTTCTGGTATATAGCAGGATGTTTGCATTCTTTAAATTCCAAGTGTGAACCCGAGCTCTCCTATTTACTATGGGGAGAAGAGCCACTAGAGGCATAAAGTGGAAAGTGCATGCATAACTCAAGGTAAGCACATGTCACAAAGGTACAAATTGGATATGACAGAATATCAATTATCTTCCTCTTCGTCTTGTGGGCTACTTCAGCATTACACTAATCTACAGTATCAAACGCTTTCGAGTGGAGCATCAATTATTCGGCATGTAGTTAATAATTCTGTCTCATAAATGCATATATCCGTCCGTATTGCATAATTACATGTTTTTCGTGATCTACACTACAACAGATGTATGCGCGTGAATGTCATTGGCCAGAAAATATAATGCACCTGATTAAACAATTAGCCATTAATGCTTTTTCTCATTCTGCGTCGCCGTTTTACCTTTACCTTCAATACCGTGCACAAATTGCAGACGATAAATGGATTGTTGAATGCAACTCATTCTATTGAATATGCACATAATAGTAAAATAAGGTAGAATAAGTTGTTGGTGGAAATGAAGGTCACTGGAATCAACTGAATGATCGACAACAATAGATAAATATGTGTGTACGTGTAATTTTACTAGTTAACAAATTTTCAAACTAGGTCTCAAAATACGACCTCAAAAACCAAACCCACGATAATTAGCTGTACTCCGTGAAGATTAGTTCTTTGAATTGCATCATAAAAATTACATTCACATTCAATACATATTTATGTAGTTACTTTTACACTAATCTTGAGCGCAAGGAATGTTGAATTATATGAATTGAATGATGTAGGTAGATACAAGAAATACCAAATTTTTACTGCTAGTTGTTGTAACAACTTGGTCTTTTTAACGACCATTTTCACGATTCTCACAACAAAGTTACTCACCAAAAGGCAAAAATTTCGAACGCCTTTCATCATCTTGTTTCCAACCAATTTGAGAAAACTGTGTGACATGGCCAAAAATCAACGGTTATGCGCTTTTGAGTGCCTTCAACTTTAACTAACCGATAAAAATTTCGCATTATTTAACAAAGAAAAAGTAATATCTATAAAATCTGATCATATTACGAAAATACCAACAGTAGTTCTGCTCAAGTATTCACCTGTCCTTTCCTTCGCAGGCAGTCGGTTGTGAAGAAATAACTCTTAAAAAGCATGAGCAATGTGGAATTCAGCAGTGTATAAAAGCAACAATAATAAACCAACAGTGACATTTTATTTTGAGCTTTATCCAAAGGACGACGTTGCCTTGTTAGCTAAACAACAACATGATTTTTTAGCCTTATTCTTAAGTATGTAAACTTGGAAATGACACAAAAGTTTTAAAGCGCAAAATGGAACACTTGAAAACCAATGAAACTGTACAGTGGGAATAGTACGTACGAAGAAGTAATAAAAAATAGAATAAAAACACTTGAACATATGTCACACAAAACTTTTCACCCCAGGGAAACGTCCACACGACAGTAGTCGTTATGATATTTACGTTATTGCACTCAAGAATTACACCAGAACGTGGCATTGCTAAATATTAGTAGACGTAATGTACACATATTCAGAAAGTAACTGCTACTGACAAAAGTAAATATTAACCAGAAGCAGCAGTTCAGTAGATTTAAATGCCTCTATTGCTTTCTTGAAAAAAACTTGACACAAAAAGAATATTGTACGGATTTTTAAAATGCTGAAGAAATAAATCGCTTTAAAATGCTCCTGCAGCAGCGTGAGCATTTCTCACTTTTTTAGGATGTCGGGGGGGAGTGAAATCTATTTTATTTTGAACAAGCTTTGAAAGCTGATCCAGTAGACGAATGAATACAAACGTGAACGTGAACTGAGAACACTTTGTTTCTAATTTATGCAACAGTTCAATCAAGAAAACCAAAAAAGCAAGAGGGGTTAAATGTTTAGACTCACTGGATTTTTCAGCCACACACAAAGAGAAACACCACCAGAAGAAGAAAGAGTGAGACTCCTTCATTTTCCTCTTTTTTTTTGGGGGGGGGAGAAAGAATTCATTCAATTACACTTTTAAATCCTCAACTGAGAGATTTCCCTGCTAAACCAAATCTTTGTCCATGAAGCTTAAAATCTAAATTGAGCTGATGTGATACGATTACTTTAGTTCACAACTTTAACACAATTAACATTCATTTCTCGTTTCTACTACTTTTGTCTTTTTTTCCAGGATTTTAACAAAAAAGACTTACAGAGCTGTAAACCCAGTGATGTTCTGTCTCAAAATAGGTATCCTTTATTTTTTGGTGTCTCTTTCTTCTACCAGCCGTCATCTTACGATTAGTTCACTCATCTTTCCCTGATGAAAATTAGATTTAAACTTGGCCAAAATTGTTTCTAAATTGGGAAACCCAACCACACAAAGTAATGGAAACCAAGTGACAACTCCTCAACCCAATTTAACGTGGCTATATATTAGAAACACCGGAATTGATTTTCAAAATAGGCTGAAATATTATTATTCTAAAAATATGAACACATAAAAAGAACCAAAATTGCGTAACGCATTGTCACAAAAGATAAGGACAACAACAGCGCATATCGTGTTCGACTTGAATCAATCGAGCGAAAGTATATTCCCAATTTTAACAGGCGTGAGAACCTACATTAGAGAAAATGATGAAGCAATGTAAACGTGGAGAAGCACAATTGCTTCCTTATACAAAAAACCAAATCGTCAATATCATATGAACATAACAATAATAATATCATTCCCATCAAATGAAACGTCACTTATTTTATTTTATTAATATGAATGGTTTCCTAATATTATCGAGCAATCTTACA